ACCCTTCATCAGAAAATTCTGATGAAGGGTCTAGGCCCGAAACGTCAGCCTTTCTGCTCCTATGATGCTGCTTGGCCTGCTGTGTTCATCCAGCTCTACACCTTGTTGTCTCAATCTTTAATCAGTTTACTTTTATTCACAAAGTGAAATTTTACAGTTCAAGTATTTGTCCTACTCACTATCACAGTGCCAGTAAATGTCTTTTCATAGTTCATGTCAGTCAGAGCTTGAGAAGGTTTCATCCAGAGAATTTCTTAAACAGTGAGAGATTGAGAAGTGGTGATGGTCAAAGGGAGTGGGTGCCCTTGTTCTGTCTAAATTTTAGCATGCAGGTGCCAAAAGCAATTGGGAATGGTATGTTCTGGTCTTGTTACTTAACATCTATCACAAAGGGATTGCAATTGAGGTTCACCAGATTAATACCTTGGATGGTGAAATTGTTTCATGAGGAAATATTGAAGAAAATGAGAGGTGAATATATTGAAACTTACAAATTTTGTACAGGGCATGGCAGGGTAGATGCGAACAGAATGTTTCCACTGCCAACAAGCCGAGAGCCAGGGGACAGAATCTCAGGATAACGGATAGGCCATGTAAGATTGAAATTATGAGAAATTTCAGAGAGGATGAATATTTGGAATTCTCTACCTCAGAAGTGCAATCATTGAGTAGCAGGTTCATGACAGGAATTAATAGATTTCTGAAGGCTGATGACATCAGCCGAAATCTGTTTGAATGAAGGAGCAAATTCAACAAGCTGAATACCCTATTCCTATTTCCTACCTACTCACTGAGGTTTTGTGACAAGAACCTCACTCTTGTGTGCTGTATTTACTGCAGTTTAGGGACATGATTCTCATTGATATGGTTTATATTCATTGTAGCTTAGGGATCTGAGTGTAATTCCTAAGCATTATATTTATTATAGTTTAGGGAGTGAGGTCTCAGCTGATTGTGCGCTAATTTACTACAGTTCAGTGACTGAATCTCGACCTGTGTGGGTTATGGTATTTTAGTGACTAGATTCTCACTTCTTTGTCTCTAGACTCCTCCCGTTATGTGTGGGGTGACTGCAGTGCTGGTTGATCACCCTTCCCTATATCCACCTGTCAGTCATCCATTCTTCTTTGAATCCCATTGTATTTGAATCTCTCACCACATTTGGACTTAGGCCTTCCTCTGGCAGCCCTGTCTCCATCACTCACCTCACCACATACTCTTTCTCTCTCTCTGCAACAGATGACCACATCATTTCAATCTCTTTTGTGCTACTATCTTCAATGCTCCCACACTGAACCCCTGAGGTACTGGTTCCTAATTTTGATATTTGCTACTCAAAACTTAACTGGTGAAGGTTGTATTTACTGTATTTTACAGACTTAATCCTCAACGGTGTAGTTTATATTTACCATAGTTTAGACACTAAATTGTCATAGAATTTTACAGCACTGAAATATTTCACTCATATTATCAAGCAATAATCAACTCCAATCCCACATTCCAGCACTAGCCATGTATGCTATGGCACTTCAAGTTGTTATTTAAATATTTCTTAAGTACCATCAGAGTTCCTGCCTCCACCACACTTCCATGTGGTGAGTTTCAGATAGACCCCACCCTTTGGGTGAAACCTTTCTTCCTCAGATCCCTTCCAAACCTCCTGTGCCTAACCTAAAATCCATTCCCCACAATTGTTGACCCCTCTACTAAGATGAAAAGTTTCTTCCTTTCTATTCTAAGGATGACCCTCAATATAGTATGCCTCAATCAGATTCTCTCCGCCTTCTCTGCTTGGAGGAAAACATCAGCCTATCCAGTCTGTCTTCATAGCTGGGTCGATCCAGCCCAGGAAATATCCTGGTGACTCTCTTCCGCTCACCCACATGCCATGACCTCCTTCACATAGTTAGTGAAGCAATCAGAACTGCACACAGCACACTAGCTGCAGCCTAACCAACATTCTACACAGGTCTATCATAACCTCTCTGTACTTGTACTCAATGCCTCGACTAATAAATATCGGTATCCCTTATGCCTTTTTAACCACCTTATCCACCTTTCTTGCTGCCTTCAAAGGTCTATGGACATGTGTATGAAGGTCCCTCTGATCCTCTGCACTCCTCTGTGTCCCACCATTCATCACGTATTATCTTGCCTTGTCAGCCCTCCTAAAATTCATCATCTCACATTTGTCAGGTTTAAATTTGATTTGCCATCGTCTCATCTATCTGACCAGCCTGTTGTGTGTCATAGGGTTGTAATCACGGCTGTTCAGTGACTGGATAATCACTGCTGTGTAATGTTTGTTATAGTTTAGTGACTAGAAGATCACAAGATATTATAATTTAGTGGGAGGCAATGGCTTAGCGGTATTAACGCTGGACTGTTAATGCAGAGACCCAGATAACCTTCTGGGGACCCGGGTTTGAATCCCACCATGGCAGACGGAGGAATTTGGGCTCAATAAATAACTGGAATTAAGAATCTAATGATGACTGTGAATCCATTGCCGATTGTCGGAAAAACCCATCTGGTTCATGAATGTCATTTAGGGAAGGAAACTGCCATCCTTACCTGGTCTGGCCTACATGTGGCTCTAGACCCACAGCAATGTGGTTGACTCTTAACTGCCCTCTGGGCAATTAGGGATGGGCAATAAATGCTGCCTAGCCAGTGATGCCCTCTTCCCGTGAATGAACAAAGGATAAAATAAGTGACTAGATAAACACTACTGTATCATATTCACTAGTTTTGTGACCCAATAAACACGGATGTGTTATATTCACTATAAATTAGTCAGTGGATAATGACTGACTTATTGCATTTTAGTGACTGGCTTCTCACCGATGTATTGTATTTTTTGTGCTTGTTGAATTGGTCCTTTCACAGCGATTTGGCAAATAGATCTTCATCCAAGACTATTTACTTTGCCATAATTGAGTGACTGGATCCTCACTGATATCTATAAGTCTACATTACTACATCTTCACTGGAGCATGTTATATTTACTATCTAGTAACTAGAACATCACTGTGGTGTGTTATAAATACTGTACTTGAGAGATTGTGTCTTCAATGTCATATATTTACCAAGTAGAATTTCAATAATGCAATATTTTGTCACAATAAATGTAACTTATTGACTGGCTCTTATGACTTTCATTCAATCTGGTGATTAGATATTCATTGTATGTAATATTGGTATGATTTATTGATTAAATGTTTTACATTTACTATAATTTCCTGATTAAATCCTTGTTGCTATGTGATATATTAATTATAATTCCAGGACTTGTTAATGAGTTAAATGAAGAGTAGGGAAAGCATTTGCAGCTCAACATGTTCATAAGTATCATAAGTGTGCTTGGAAAGTTATCTCTTGCTCTTTGTTTGAAACACATTTCCTTCTGCTTAAAAAGGTTGAGTTCAAGGGACTAACAATTCCATATAATCACAGAGTCAGCATCCATTCTTTGAGATATGACTCCAAAATGAAGGGTTTATGGGAAAGCAGGACAATAGAATTTAATGCCACAAATTTTTCTTGTAGTGGTGAAGCAGACTTAAGAGTCATAAGGCTATACAGCATGGAAAAAGACCTTTTGGTCCAACTTGTCCTCGCCAACCAGATATCCGAAATTAATCTAGGCCCATTTCCCACTAAACCCATCCTATTCACATACCCATTAAGGTGCCTTTTAAATGTTGTAATTGCATCCACCTCCAGCGGCAACTCATTGCATACACACACCATCCTCTGCAGTTGCTCCACGGGTGCCTTTTAAATCTTTCCCCTCTCATCTTAAATCTATACCCTCTAATGTTGGACTCCTGTACCCTGGGATAAAGACCTTGGTTATTCCCTTGTATCCATGCCCTCCATGACTTTATAAACCTCTATAATGTCAAATTGTCTACTCTTCCTTTGGTATGTTATGATCGAATGGTATCTACCCTCAACCACTGGTAAGTTTCAAAATCACTCTTGCACAATGACTAACAGCAAATTTGATGCCTCGAATACATGTACAGGTGACATAGCCCAAGTTACTGAACATTGTTGGTTTCCCTGTCATAATGTTGCAAAGGAGCAGTCCTATGTTGCAGAAGAACTGGGCCAAGTAGAATCCCTCCGCATTGTCTGATACCTTCTTATTGTAGAAACATTCATGGATTGTATCCTAATTTCTGTTGTCCAGGGATTCAGGATTGCTTTTAACAGTATTCCTTTCATGCGGATTAACGATTTTGTTTAAAATTCTATATCTTCAGGTGGTTTAGGTGCACCACCCTATCTGACTGCGGACTTGCACAACCTTTTGTTGCCTTGTCAGATATTTCTGGGCAAATGCTCTAGTGACTGAAGTGTTGAGGATGCCTTTTGTCTGTCGTATGCACCTTTTAAGGAAACCTTAAGGAAAGGGATGGGGAGGGGAGGTAAAAAAAAAAATTACATTTAGCTCTGCAATACATCTGACAAGTGTGTCATTGGGGATTTTGAATTACAAACTGGGGAACGGGAGAGGGGGACTTCTTTCAGCCTGAAGCTCAATAGAGGAGACAAAGGTGGAAGGAATAGCAGGGGACTTGGCAATAAAGTAGAGGAGGTGGAGGAGGGGGAATGAGGGCGAAAGCGCACGCGCACGACAAGCCTGGTTCCCATCCTCCACTCTCTGCACATGCGCAGTCCGCTCTCCACCAGGACCACGCCGACGTTAACCCGAAGCCGCCATCACAGTCGAGACACCCGAGAGGGTTAAAGAACGCGCAAGGGGGGCCTGTCGCGGACTTGATACTCACGGGAGTCGATGCACCGCGGCGCTAATGCTGCATTTCGAGGGAGGAAGGCTGAAAAGCGGTGGCCGGCAAGAGAGAAAAATCCGTTTGAAAGCCGGCGGCACGTCACGTGACCGTGGGGCGTCCAATGGGCGGGCGCCCGCGGGGCGAGCGCTGACGTAGCCGGAGATTTTCTTTGTTAACATTTGGTGGAAAATGGAGGGCAAAACGCGGTTAAAAGCGGGCGGCCGGAGCCGAGCTCGACGCAAGGGACGGAGGAGGACGCGGCCGAGGCCAGGGGAGATCGGTTACCGGGCGAAAGGTGAGAAATGGGCTCGATTTTGGGGCAAGTTGTCGGCGAAGGGAGGCTGCAGGGTCATGTGACCGGCTACAGCCAATTAGCCGTCGAGCTGCTGGAGCGGCAGCCGTTAGGAAATGGAAGGTGAAGGAAAATTTCAAATTTAATTCAAAATTCCTCAAATCTTAACGGAATTCAACGGCGAAAATAAAAATACACACATCACCGTCCCTTGGAAAAATAATCATGTTTGGGGAGGGGAGGTTGGCAATGAAAAAAGCCTTTTTCGCCTGTTATGCTTGTAGGCAGTTTTTCTATTACTAACAAGAAAATGGAGGATAAAAGCCACTTATGTTAAAAAGTGGTCAAGTTGCAAAATAACGTACTTCCTTTTGAAATGGGGAAAACATTGCATTTTTTAAAGCAAACAAGTTGTTCACGTTTTCTTCAGTTGCCTGGTTCAGGAAGGGATTGACAAAGCGAAGTGTAATAAGCGAACATTGGGGTATTTCCATTTTTTAAAAAAAAAATGCGAACTCCAACTTCAAAACACCTACTCTTGAATTTTGGGTGCTTTGTTGAGTTGACTTGGTTTGAAGTGCTAGTTCAATTGGGAGTTGTCTTTTTGGAGGGTGGGGGGAGGAGGATTAACTGTTCCATATCTAGCTGTCTCATCCCCTTCCACCACACACACACACATGGCATCCGGCCGATTCCCTTTTCTCTGAAAAGTGAGGGAGCTCTGGGATGAGGTAGCTGCATGAGAGGGAGGGCTTAGGCTGTTTGCGACACACTGTCTCCCTCTCTCTCCAATGACAGTTCTGTTGCCGTGCCGTTCAGTTTTTTTTCGCTGTGTAATGTTCCCAAAGATGGCGGCAAGCCCTTGTACTGTTTATTGCCCTCGAGGCCTGGCCTAATCATGGACCGGCGCTGTGTCATTCCACCCCGACTTCCTACCTCCTTAACTGTCTTTTGTAGGGCTGTGTTGGACGTGGAAGGGGATGTTTAATCCCGTTTCACGGTAGAATTAGTTTCCCCCATTCTTTACGGGGGTAAGAAGTGACAAGGCAGTATAGTGACTAGGGTGGGTGGGGATGGAGTGGGGGAGGGGAGCGGACACGCCATGTTAATCTGACCAGGGGAGGTATCACCTTCCCCTCACGCTAGGTGTTGTGTTCCCTCGGTTGGTATCGTATGAATGTTTGGCAGGCTGGATTTGTACACCGGGTGCTGTGTTCCTGCCCCCCAAACTCCTCCGGGATGTGATGTGTGTACGTCCCCTCCCTGTTGTGTAATGGCTGACTTGTCCTTTCTTTCCCCGTCGGCTGAGGGCCGCCACCGGCCCAGCCGCGTGACTCGGCAGTACCGTCCAATCGTAGCGCGATCGGCCGCGGGGCCCGCACTCACGTGTTACCGCTCGGCCAATGGTGGGCGGCGGCGTGTGTTGGGCGGGCGGGCCGCCCGCCGGAGCCGGCCAATCGGCAGCGGCTGCCGTCTGGTGGGCGGTATAAAAGGGCGGGCTCGCAGCGTCGCGGCGCCATTTGCTTTTGCCGAAACCGGAGAGGGAGAGACGCGGGGGAGAGAACCGAGTGGACGCGCAATCAGGCGGCATCTGATGGAAACGGCCACTCATCCGGGGCTCGACAGGTACGGCAGAGCGGTGCAGGACCTCGGCCGTGTAACGGAAGCAGTATTGAAGAGAAATGCAAGGGAAAGCAGGCAGAAAATCCCGGAGGCGGAGAGAGAGAGTGTTCCCAGGGAGCAAGAGCAGGCCCGGCAGCCGGGGCCGCCATTTTCTGCCATTCACAAACAGTATACATACAGTACACATCCGGGCTGGGATGCAGGGAAGCGGGGTCACGACCGGGAGGGATAGGGAGCGATCTCCAAATTAATAAATTATAAATACTTTACCAAACTATTTAGGCTCATCCGTCCCCAGATTTCTTATTGCTCCATTTTATTTTGCAGCTGTGGATTTTCCCTTGTTTTTAAAGACAATTCCGAATTTTTGATCTGTACCTAGCAATGCTGCTGGTATTATTCCTACATTAAAGGATGCCTCAACTACGATTTAAAGGATCTGCAAAGCTCGGATTTTTTTTTTCCGCGTTTAAGTTCTATGAACTGCAGGGAATCTGTCATCGTTATATATTTGCCCATCACTTCAACTAAAATGTCGGAATACTAATGATATTTATTTTGGGGAAGGGCCCTACCTGTATAAACAGAACAAAGGGAATCGCGTTAAATGGTAATTGTAACATCAACCTTTAGGACCTCTTTATTCCTCGACATGGATGTAACAGATCAGATTCTAATAACTGAGAAAGTAGTTTAATCTCAAGGACAGTTCAACATGATGCATTTTTGTCACAAATGCACGTGGTTCAAGTACACACTTCACTTAAGTCTAAAGCAAGGCGATATTTCATAGTGTGCTGTATTTACCTCAGTGTTCAATTATTTGCATTGTACTAATTCTCTACCTCTTAAATTAAAACTTACCAAACTGGCTTGTTGAGCTGTTTCATTTTCTTTTAAATTTCAGTACTCTTTATGTTCTCATACATGTATATGTGCATCTTATTTAACCTTTGGCTACAGTGCAGATTGGTTTCACAAAGCAGGCTTTTATTAGATAATCAAAACAATTGGAAGTGTTTTTGAGGAAAAGAGGGAGGGGCTCCAGGACAAAGTAGCCATGTGGAAACGTATCTGATGTCACTTGCAGCAGAGTGGGCGTGTGTAGCAGAATATTTAGATGAAGTTGTCATGGTGCTCTCTTGCCTGCATCTTAACTATGTGCTGTGTTTGTTCAGTATTGCATATTCTTCCATGGTTTAAGATTGTAGGCAAGCAAGTAATTAGCCTACTCATTTACTATATTTTTAAGCAAACATCTGACTCTATCTTTTCTGCTAGAAGTGTGAGGAATAGGTAGCCACCAATCTCTTTTGAAAAGATCTTGACTTCTTTATCTTTCCTCTAATCTGTTCTTCAGTGTTTAAAGTAATTTTTTACTTTTGACCCACAAATGCCAAAAGTAAACGGTATAGTTTGGCTTGATATGTGTGTTTCATCCTACCAAGTTACGGGTCTGGCAATTCACACTGAAGTTAGCGTTGTGGGGGAACACTGTTTTAATTCATTTTTAAAATTCCTGACATGCAGTCTCCATTCTCTGCAGTGATTTTTGTTTTCTAGATATTTTAATGTCTATAACATTTCATAGCACTCCAGTTGAAAACTTCAAGGGGCATACAGTTTATTAATTTGTTTGTCCAGTATTGAATGTTTAATTGTTTGTTCCCAGGTCAACCTCAGTGACAGTATTGTAATTCTATATTTTTTTTGCTTCAGTAAACGCAGTGGATTAGCCCAAGCAACTCGGTAGGTGTGGCAGCATATGTGGGGAGAGGCAAACAGTCTTAATGTTTTGAGTTGACTGACTTCTCTTTTTGGAAATCTAATTCATTGAAGAATCAATGGATTCCGAGAGTTAACTTTGTTTCTTCTTTCATTGATTGTTGCCAGACTCGCTGAGTTTGTTTTTACTTCGGCTTTCCAACATTTGCAGTATTTCGCTTTGTTTTTGTTTTTGTTTTAGTCCAAGCAGCACGTGTCTTAGAAATGATTGATTGTGATTACTGTGTGTTTCTGTCGAATCTTTTCTCGTGCTGGTAGGAGAAGCAGTAGAGGCACAGTTGAGATATTGTGTCCATGTCAGATTTTTCAAAGTGAGTTCAAATACAAAGCTTCAGATGTCACTTAAAAAAAAAGTTAAAACCATACACCTCAATAAATGAACCATGCTTGGTTTCACTACTGAACAAATGGATATTAACTTCCATTAGAAAGCTAGGCTTTTGTTGAAGGATTTGGTATGGATGGGAATTGCATTTATTTGTGTTGTCACTGCAGTATCATCTGTCTCTGTATGAACAATCCTATATTTGCTAAAGTGGCTGTCTTGGCAAAAAGAAACTAAGTTTGCAAGTGGTTCTTTACGTTTTCTTCTGATGGAGTATTGCTATTCCATTGGCTGCTAAAACCGCTGAGACATAAGATGCAATGTAAGACTCCAGTCACTGCTGTGATGTGCATCCTAGGTGATTTCTAGAGCAAACTGCAGAAAACATGTTGCATTCTTCACGAGAAGAGAAGAAGGTTGTTGTAATAACAAGAATAGAAAATGGCTTTATTTGACATGCAAAACCTTAGATGGGCTAGTTTAATATACCTGTGACTTTATGGATTGTACTAGCCAGTGGCTGCATCAGTTCAGAGACATGTCAGTGACCGATAAAACAATATTCCCAGCACTAAGCAAGTGAAGTTTCTCTGTAGAGCTTCTTATTGTTAAAAATGTTAATGTTTCATGTATTTGTACTACAGTATGTTTTGGCTGCTTTTATAACTACTGGATACTGGCTACAACTAACCTTTACAGTTCTCCTGACTGCCACAGAATAACTGCCTTGTGTTGAGATCCTAGAACACCTATTTAGAATTGTTACTTGCTGACTTTGTTAGCAGGTAGTGACTTGATAATCCTAGAAGCTTATGTTTTTCACTGCACTCCACTTGATGATGTATCAAAGTTGGAACTGTTCACTTCAGAATACCACAGTTTACACTGAGTTATTGTGCTGTTCATTCAGACTACAATTTTTGCTTTGGAATTGAGCTTTTAAAAAATGGATGGAATCCAATTTTCTTTTTGACTCCATTCTGATGTGTTTTTAGCATGGAATATTTTGACTGCAGTAATGAGTCATCCATGCATTATTATAAGGTATTGATCAGTTTTATGAAGAGCTCTCAGGAATTATTTTCCCTTTTGTTCCTGCATTTAAAAGACTGATTTTGTTTTTAACAATTTGGAATTTCAATTTTAATCCCTTTAAGTTATTCCAAAGGCACCTTTTATTTATACAATGTTCTTGTTTCAAAAAAATCAGATTGTCAAAATGTGCAACTGTTGTTTGTAGGGTATTTGTTTTGAGTAATTTGGCAAACAACCCTTAATGTTGGAACCTGTTGACTATGTTGGAGCAAGGAGAGGAAAATGGATACCTGTGACAGATATGAGGAAAAGAAAAGAGGGCTTTTTATTTGGAGTGCTTCTTTCCCTATCCAGGGCTCTGTTTTGAGTATTTGAGTTGAGGCCATATTTCACATGTTAACTTTTGTTGGATTGTGAGTAAGTAACACAGTTGAGTTGAAGTGCTTTAGTGTAGAAATTCCATTTTCATTGGGATTCATTGGAGTCTTGAGTTGCCAGTTTCCCTGCGGATATGAAGATGCCTGATGGCCTGGTTCCTATAAGTCATGTCCTCAGATTTTCTTTCACTGATTTTTATTTCAGGTGGTCATGGTAGTCCTTTTGGATTACTGAGTACTGTCACTTAGGCGATTTCAAAAGTGACAAATAAAATTCTGTTTTCAAAAAGGTGTTTGAACATTGTTTTTTGTTTCTTATAGCAAAATTTCCCATGATGAACTTAGAATTATCAGGACTGAACAGTACTGACGGCAGAGAAGACGATCTACAGCCAGGCCTTTAATGTAGTTGCCTCTCTATAGTGATCCTCAGAAAATCAAGCAACTGTTAGCCTGATTCTTAGTGGTTGGTATTTTTTATTTTATTTTATTTTTTTGCACCAGTACAACTCAGTCAGGTTGGAGAAGTAGTTGCCATCAGGCAGATAGCAATAACTAACTGGGGATGAATGCTTAGGAATCATTATGGTATTGGGTTTTTGTAGTTCTGGTCCACTTGGCATTAAGTAGCCTGGTGCAATGTGCAGTGTAGATGTGGCATTTAAGCATGATGGGAAGGAGGGATAGCCTGGTTTGAACAGTCTTTTGAACATTATCTTTATGGAATTAAGTAAACCTTGGAGAGTCTGACTGAATAGATACAATTCATGTGATTTTATAAAGATGTTTAAACTGCATTTCAGCACTTAATGCAGTGAATATTGAGCTGTTTTCCTCCTTTCTTATTGAAGGTTGCAGGGGGACGCTGGTAATGGGATAACTGGGCTGCCTGCTGATCCAGGGTCTGGGAAGCGCATCCGCAAACCATCTATGCTGTATGAAGATTTTGAGAGTCCCACAATGTCTACTTCAATTCATTCTCAGAACAACTTTGTAATTAGTCCTCCTCCACCTGAGGTGTCCAACCCTAAGAAACCTGGCCGAGTGACTAACCAGGTTCAGTACATGCAGAAAGTGCTGATGAAAGCTCTTTGGAAGCACCAGTTTGCATGGCCATTCTATCAACCAGTGGATGCAGTGAAACTCAGTCTCCCGGTGAGTGCAAATACCTAGAGGCAAGTTGTGACTTGCCTAGGTTTTGTGGTATCAATTGCTATCTAATGCATTAATAATATATTCTGGCTACTTTAAGAATGGCTAGGGGTTTGTGAGCACTGCACTTGAGTATAGGGAATGAAGTGACAATGGAAAAATTCTTGAAACCTTGCTCTTAAACTAAGCTGTTACAGAGACAGTAGGAGCTGCCGATGTTGGAGAATCTGAGATAACAAGGTGTGGAGCTTGGCCTGCTGTGTTCATCCAGCTCTACACCTTGTTATCTCTTAAATTAAGCTAATTTGTTACGATGGGTTAGGCAAATGATTATCCATACTGGGTATGTTAAGAGATTCTTGAGGCACAAGTTCCAAATGAGAAGTTAAATTCATGTGAAATATTATCATACTTATAACACTTTATCCTATGTACTAAAAAGTATGATTTTGGAAATTTTCTTTCTCTATTACTGAGGGCAGGGGTTTCCGTGCCTTAATGTGTCGTAAACTTCATTTTCAAGTTCAGTGGTACCTCCTACTGGAGAACGAAAGGCCATCTTGCATGTCTCTATGATCATGTGCTTGCCAGATGATTGGCTGCTTTATTGTATTTTCTTTGCAACTAATTTTGGTTACAGGGTGATGGAACATGGTTATGCTATCAGTTTTTTAAGCCAGATGTTTTTTGTGGTATTTCTGTTGGAAATGAGTGAATTGATGGATTATGTTTCATCTGTTTTAATGTTCCAAGCTGGCAGTCATTTTTAAGTGTGTCATTGGCTCCAATTTTGTCTGACAAGTTTTCCCAACTTCATGTAGCTCTTGAGGGCATCCTAAGCAGAAGATTAATATTTTTGTGTGATCACTTGTAAGAAAAGTCACAGTCAGTTTGCAGCACGCAAACACCTGCTTGAGGCTATTTGAACTGATGGGGAGGTTGGAAGCACTTACATCCTGATTAGAAAAAGTACCATGATAACTTCCATGTATGCTTGAACAGTACTCCTGAAAATGCAGCACTGTCAAGCTACCTTGAAGTGGCAGCTGTGGTAATGTGCTCGTGCTAGAGTAAGAGGCACTTGAAATAACAGGAATAGTTTGCCTTTCATAAACTTAACTAGGGTTTACAAATCGTGATTTGTGTGGTGATGGATTACCATATCTCGTGATTTGGATAGAGCTGCTCATTTGATTACCAACTTGTCATCTTTGATCTTGTGCTTATACAGTAGAATATCTTGACAGCATTTTCTAGAAACACTTCATTAAGTCTTATTCTCTTGCAGGATTACCATAAGATAATTAAGCAGCCGATGGACATGGGCACTATTAAGAAGCGTTTAGAAAACAATTATTACTGGAGTGCCAGTGAGTGCATGCAAGACTTCAACACAATGTTCACTAACTGTTACATTTATAACAAGGTAAACATGTTTATGTTCATTGGAGCTCTCTGTTAACCCACATGCTTTTTTAACATACTGATGTTAGTTTAATTATTCTAAAGCATGCTGTGAAGTTTTTGGCAGTATAATTCTCCTTGACGTAATTATTTGACTTTAACAGCCTACGGATGACATTGTGTTGATGGCTCAGACTCTGGAAAAGCTCTTCCTGCAGAAGGTGGCGCAGATGCCCCAGGAGGAAGTGGAGTTAACACCTGCACCAAAATCCAAGCAGTCAAAGGGTCGTAAAACAGGAGGTATGATTAATACATTGGATTGGAGGAGTATCACCTTTTTTAGTTATGTGCACAAAATTGACTACTTACAACAAACTATCTCCCCACCAAATATCAGTTCTCTCTGACTGTGGTATCTAACAGGATCCCCATGAAGACTTAGAAATTTGGCAGTGCTTGTGATCAGAATATGATTTTTAAGTTTGAAAATTGGTTGCGTGGACCTACTTGCTGTTCCCTAAGTGAAGGGACAGCTGAGTGTTTGTTTGTTTGTTTGTTTCCAATTTTAGTGCAATGGATGAAAAATATTTGAACTTCTGACCACCTGAACCCTGGAAGAAATTAATTTTTACTGCAATTCTGAGAGTTGTAGCGTTTTATTGATAGCAGCCACCATTCTGCCCAAACTGTTTTCCTACAGGGGCATCTTTTGTCACCCCCCACTGTGTTAAACATCAGTCACTGAAATGAACCGCTTTGTTACTGCAGGATCAAATCCAGGAATTTATGGTCATAATGATGCAATGCAATGGATTACTACGGTTGAACCCTACTTGTTCATCACCTAGTAGGCAGTGATGGCCACCAAATGGTGGCCCAATCAGCAAAAACCACGTACGATGAAAGAATGTCAAGTCCCCGTTAGCTGGAATTTTTATGCAATTTAGGGTAGGATTGCTGTCTCTGGGAACTGATTATTTGGTTGCCTTTCTCTCCTTTTGGATCAATGATGACTGTATTTAACAGTGTTGACTACAACCAGCACGTTCGTGAAACTTCATTCCTGGTGCATGTAGTTGTTGATTTTAAATACATCAATTTTTAAAAATCAGCTTATGGCTTGGACAACGTTTGCTTATATCTCTCAATTTTACGTTTCATCAAGAATAGAAATGTCGCTTTGTTAGTGACAATGGAGAATTTTTTTGCGCTGCGCCATTTTATGATGATTTCATGCGTGTCAACTGATCCCAGTGGTTGTCTGGTAGCTGGCACCTTGCTGACGTTTTGTCTGTAAGTAATGTTAGTCACTAGAGATTCTGGGAACATGATCATGCTATTCACTTCTGAAAATGGTTGCTATGGAGATAAGACTTGGAAGTGTGAAGGTGGAGGCAAGATGAGAGGTATTTCTTTGGAAAAAAACTGAAACCTCTCGTATCTAATTTTTATTTGGCTGTTTAGCTGCAGCAAAGTAAAACTCTTCTTTCGTGCTAATGGGTTCTTTTTCACAGGGGTACCATCAGTCCCAGGTGGAGTGACTGTGTCTCAGGTCCCAATGGTGTCATCTGTGTCTCAACCAACAGCGTACTCTCCTCCGACGCCAGAAGTGCCCACACCCATTCTTGATGTGTCTCAGACGTCTGTCATCTCTGCACCAATTATGCATAAGCCCTCACATTCTCCCCCTCAATCTGTACTAGCTGTACCACCCCCTTCGCAGCCTGTCACAAAGGTAAGCCAGACTGCGTATGAAAGAACATCTATAAACTATAACCGAGGACTGCTGTAACACCAATTTTTTTTAACACAATTTGCTTATAGTATGGGTATCTGTCATGGTGTCCTTTCTTTAGTGTCTCAATCATTTGTTTGGAATGAAAATTCGTAATGAAGTTAAATTATGCCTGTAATTTAAAAACAAAGTGCCGGAGTCTGATAGCACTCGTGGATGATTCGGAGGCCATGTCCACTGCTGAGAGCTTAACTAGGAGAAACGTCCTTTCTGAAAGAAGGCTGTGTGATCAGATTCTGTGTTCCTCTCCCTTAATGAATATACTAGTAATAAAAACTAGCCACGTATGTTGGAAGTGTCACGGCTAGGTGCTGTTCCAAAACAGCTGTTTGTCTTCCTTCGTGACCTAATCAAGGAGGGAGCACCACAGAGCAGACTACCCACCACTATTAAGGAGCCTTCAGCTGCTGTTGGGGAGTGTGAAGGAATCTTTGGTCCTGGGGCAACTAAGTTTCTTGATCTGACTGATGGAGGGACCGTGGCGCTCTCCTGAGCAGCAGGCTTTCTCAAGGCCAAGGTGAAATGAGATTTCCAGCCTTGGTGGTTCAATTGCTGTGCAGTTCACTATCATGTTTTCATATTGCTAGACCTGACACCATGTTGTATCAGGCTTCTGCACTTCTTTGTTTGCTTTTGGCCTGAGAATTTTTCATGTTAAGAGAAGGTAAACTGAAAATAATGGCAATTTAGTGGGCTGATTCTGATAGATTTGAGAGTATACATGTATAGCATTGGAATGTTGAATAATTAGAGCTTTTAATTTCCCATTGCAGCACTTCAAAATAGTCTTAGGGATGTCTTTCTAGGGTAGTGATCTTAGTCAATGGATTGTTTCAGGAGATAACTGTACTCCTAATACATGCTGAGTGGAAGAACTGTTTTGCTGTGGGAGTGGGAGAAGGCACAGGGCTGTGATAGTTGGCAATGAATGAGACGTGTTCAGTGATCAGAGTTGTGCTGGTATGGGTGCCTGTCATCTACTTGGCTCTAATTGTGTTGTATTTAAACCTGTTCAATTGCTAGAGGAGTAGAATTGTTTTCTTTTTAATTTGTGTCAGTGTAATTCTTCTCAACATGACAATAGTTTGAACCATTTTCTAACGCTAGGTGAATCTGTCCTAATTAGTAATGTTGCCATAGTCCTAACAGGCCTTGGGGCTGCTTTCTCATTAGAGACAATTGGTGATGGTTTAACCTGAGTCACCACGCTTCAGGTGAAGGATTGGGTGGGTCGGTGGGGGGCACGTTTGAGAAGGTGAGTCCTTCATGGTACCCCGAACAAGTGTGGAAATTGACCCCATGTTGTTGGCACTACTTGGTGCCACAATCCAACTGTCTAGCCAAGTGAGCTAGTTTAGTCTGTTTTAAAGTTGTTTAAGGCTTAGTAACGTAATAGAAATCCTGTGAAGTATGTTCAGGTCTCTTAACATTCTTGAAACTGTGCTAGTATGTGATGTATTGAAACATTGCCCAACGGGATGAACTTTGTAACCATTTGCCTGCAGTTTCCAGACTGGTACTTTGCAAGATCCCAGGATAAGTTGCTGTAACTTTTTTTTCCCTGCTTAGTGCCCAGCTTAAAGTGAAACCAGCAGTTGGATGATAGGTTGCCTTCCTGTGGGGGTCCATGGGAGTTGATGACGTGATTGTAGTAATGCCTTTTTTCCTTTTACAGAAGAAAGGAGTAAAGAGGAAAGCGGATACAACAACCCCAACCACTTCTGTTGTTACAACAAGTGGAGAATCATCCCCATCAGTAGCAGAAAGCAAGGCTGCAAAGATTCCAGTCAGACGGGAAAGTGGCAGACCCATCAAACCACCAAAAAAAGACTTACCAGACTCCCAGCAACACCAGAGTTCAAAGAAAGGCAAATTAAGTGAGCAACTGAAGTACTGTAATGGTATCTTGAAAGAGCTGCTGTCAAAGAAGCATGCAGCATATGCCTGGCCCTTTTATAAACCAGTGGATGCCAAAGCTCTTGGGCTTCATGACTACCATGACATAATCAAGCATCCGATGGACCTGAGCACTATCAAAGTATGTCGCATCCAAGCAGCACATTGTCTTAACGCCATATCGTTTGTACCTGGATACAGTGAAACCTGTACGTTAAACTGACTCCTGTCTTCATGGTGCTCTTTCCCAGCCAAAGGCTTTACTCATTGAATTAAATGTCTAGCTCCTGGAGTAAGCAGCTGCCTGCCTGTGAGGTTACATTTGCTGCTCGTTAAAATACGAAACTAGCAGTTTAAGTAAATGGAACTTGCACCTGGATTAATCGACACTTAACCACTGACTCCAAAGTAGTCAGGCTTCCACTGGCTGGGTTGAGCTGTGATACTTCCCAGGATTTAAATGCTGTCTTGTCTTTTTCCTTCAGTCTTAATGGTGACTGCTAAATGCAGGTTTCACTGTACCATATAGCTGAACCCTTCCCATAGCTACCTCAGTAAATATGGAAATGAGAAATTGTATGCTGTACACCTAATGTCTAACTTGATTTGGGGTGAGGGAATATGCACATTTGTTTGCTTTATAAGCATTTTCAATGACTTGGACAGATACAGTGAAACATTTCAAGTACTTATCAGATCATCTTTTACTACTTTTTGACATTGCAACATTCCCCAACTGAATGAATACTAACTTCAGTCACAGGACTTGAAGAATTCCTAGTCCATTATGCCATAAATCATAGCTGTGGGTGATAATATATTTGTAGAGCTCTGATGAAGCTATTACATATTATTTTCAAAATCCAACAACTGCTGAACTCTTAAACTTTTAAATTAGTGGTTGAACAGAAGTTTGAATCTCTTTTGGATATGTAAAAACAAATTGCTGTTCTCCAGTGTGAAATGACAAACTCTGCACAGTTACTAGTTAGAAACCATACAAAAAATTGGCTTGTGTTAGGACAGATATTTCTTTGTCCCCAGTATCCTGTGTCGTTTCATGCCCCTGAATGGACTGGGTTTGGGGGGTGGTGGTTGGCTGAGTTTTGCTGCTGGCCTTGTTTTAGGCCTTTGCTGCACGTTGAACTGTATTTGGAGGTTGCTTGTGTTTTGGGGCCATTTCACTTCCTGGTGTTGATGGCAAGTGACGTAGCTGACAGGATTTTGCCTCTGTTGTTCCACTACTGCTGTAAAGTGCTTCAGTATTACTGATGGTCACCTGATCCTCAAAAGTTAAATTGGTTGTTTCTAGCACTTTACTAACTTGGGGCTTTTTGGTGAAATCTGGCTAATTAGAATGTTGAGCATCCTGTCACTAAAATTCACTTGCTGTCATCAAAATGGTATTCCCAGCAAATGAATGTAATTATGGGAAGATGTGCAATGTACTATCTGCATGTTAGCATTTTTCCTACGTGGCTAGGTGCTGTACTTAATGTTTTTAGCAATTTTTATTCTTTTTACCTTGGAAACAGTGCAGTGAATTGTCAGCATTAACACTCCAAAGGCAAATCACTAATGCATCTTCTATTAAGAACATGTCTAACTTATCAGTTTTGAAAAATTGGTGGTTAGGATTGATGGGATGCAATGAGAAATCTCTAGCTGGGTTGTTTTGACAGACCATTCACAGTTAAGAATGGAACCTTTATGATTATAGTGCAGCTTATTAAATGATTTGTATTTATTCCCCCCACCCACCCCCCTTCACTTCAGAGAAAGATGGATGAACGGGAATATCAGGATGCACAAGAATTTGCAGCTGATGTAAGGTTAATGTTCTCGAATTGTTACAAGTATAACCCACCAGACCATGATGTGGTTGCCATGGCCAGGAAGCTGCAGGTAATTTTAGTTTGGTGCTTTCGAGGGAACTTAACTTTTTTTTTGTTGTTTGGAGAATTGATACCTGTAACTTTGCATTAATGAGTGGAGTTCCCCAAACCTTTTTAAAGCGTTATTTTGTTCCAACGGCTAATGATTCCAAACCTTTTTAGACAGCTGAATAACTGCAATGGTTTTAAATATCCGTAGCAGCAAGACTTTGTTTGTTTATTCACTCATTGCAGTTGGTAGAATCTAAATGAGATCTAATTACAACCTTTATCTGAATGTGAACTGTGACTTTTAAATCTTACACGAACTTGCCACTGTATACCTAAAAATAAAAGTTTTTTTCTGATTAACTTTCATGTTTCCTTTGGACACCCAAATTGCATCTTTCTGTGTACTCCTTGGTTTTAATTAGATGTCTGTACCCTTGCGTGATGTTTTCAGCTTTTGCATATTCACTATAGGAATATAATGTCTTTACAGTGGTGTAGTTGCTTATTCCAGATTAGCTTTACGCTAAAATCCCTTAAAATTCTTTTTTTTTCCTTCAGGATGTGTTTGAATTCCGTTTTGCCAAGATGCCAGACGAGCCTATGGAATTCACACCTCCACCTGCACCAACTCCACTTCCTCCTGTTGTGTCCAAATCATCATCTGATTCTTCTAGTAACAGCAGCAGTGAAAGCTCGTCAGACACGGAGACGTCCGATGATTCAGAAGAAGAGCGAGCTAATCGGCTGGCTGAACTACAGGAACAGGTGATCAAAAATGCTAGTGATCTTAAATTTACAGCCAATATTTAAAGCCCTTTCTATTGTGGGAGATGCCATGCTTGCAAGGTGGATCAGGTGGTCGTCTGTGTGTTTCTCCTTACTTGTTGGTGCTTTAATAGCTAACTACAAGAATGAACGCAAAGATGGAAAGGTGAAACTTAAAAGATGTGTGTGTCTCCCGAACTGCATGAACCAAAATAAAGATTTAGTTTGAGTTAATGTTTTGCATGTCCTTCTCATTCCCTGGGTTATGGCTTCATTCTCTGACTGAAAATGTATGGAGTACTGATTGCTCAGTATTAAAGAGTAACTTAAAAATTCTGACTTTTCCGAGCATTAACACATTTACAACTACATCTACACATGTATAGATCCATTGCTGGTAATTACAGCAGACGAGGTGTGCAAATGCAGTGCATGTCTTGTCTTGTTAACATTTTTGACCACTTATGGAATACTGTGTTTCCTTTCTACAGTTAAGGGCTGTCCACGAGCAGCTAGCTGCCCTCTCACAGGCTCCTATGTCCAAACCAAAGAAAAAGCGGGACAAGAAAGAGAAGAAAGACAAAAAGAGGAGGAAAGATAAGCACAAGGTGAAAGACGAAGATGAAAAAATGTCCAAATCATCCAAATCAAAAGCTGTACCGAAAAAGCAGTCCAAGAAAGCATCTGGAGGCAGCAGTTCAGGAAGTAACAATAAGTAAGTGCATGTGTACTGATTTTGATGCCTAATGTAGTGGGTTGTTTTTATCCTGCCTCAATATTTCAGAACTGTTAAAGTTAGGAACATTACAAATTTGGATTTGGGAATATGCAAAAGATCTAAATGCTCTGGTGTTGGTCAATTTGTCTGAACTTTATGCAAAGTACACTGTTTTTGAGACACAAGTCAAACGCAGCCGATGGAAGAATAACCTCCAAGCAGTGGCTCAATGATAACTGCACACTTCTTCTTCACTATCAAACCCTGGGGTGGGGCGACCTAATTTGATGTGCTGTAGTTCAGCCAAAAATGCCTGGTAACAATAACGGCATTGCTGTGGATAACTTTCTCTGGAATCTGCTTTATAGATAAGAAACCAGAAACTGATTTTGTATTTACTTCAGGGTAGAGCCAGGTTAATTTTACTATATTGTTATTTATGCTATTTACTGTTCATAGGCAGCCCAAGAAGGTGAAACAACCCCCACCCCCACCACCACCGCCACCTCCTGGCTATGATTCAGAAGAAGAAGATAACTGTCGGCCCATGACATACGATGAAAAGCGACAGTTGAGCTTGGACATTAATAAACTGCCTGGTGACAAGCTAGGCCGTGTAGTGCATATCATCCAGTCTCGAGAGCCATCGCTTCGAGACTCCAACCCTGATGAGATTGAGATAGACTTTGAAACTCTAAAGCCATCCACTCTTCGAGAGCTTGAACGCTATGTTATGTCCTGTTTACGGAAGAAACCTCGCAAGCCTTACTGTAAGTATATGGGCACCTGTAATGCTATTTTGGGGATTTTTAAATTATACAAAGATGTTTCAACCATGAAGATTAAACACTTTGTTCTCCTGAGCTACCTGATTTCTATGTATAATTTTGGACCAGAGATCTGGAAGGGCACAACCTCTTCTTCTAGAATGAGGAGAGTAGTTTTCTACAAAGTAAGCATTTTGCAGACTGACCCATACGCTAAGGAGTCGTTGTTGGATGGGAGCTGGTGTAAATTGTGACCAGCATTATGCCCTGGCTTTGTAGTGTATGATTGTCAACTCAGCTGATAAGGACTGACTGCAGGTTTCATGATTTGAGCCCACAAGGGAAATTTCTGACTAGTGTAGTTTGGGAAGCTGCACAAAGACACACTCCCTCAACAATGGGTGAGCCCCGAATATCGCCGCTAAAGAAGCATTTGCAACTATTTTTAGCCAAAATACTGTATTCTGCTGACAAGCAGAGATGCCTGTCTCCAAACAGTGCATTTCACCCTTGCTGATATTGAGTAAGTGCTGAAGGTAATCTACACTAAAGCTTTAGGCCATGACCTTGTTCCAACAATAATACTGAAAGTGTATTCAAGAACTAGACACAGCCCTAGCCAAGCTGCTCCAGCATAATTCTAGCACATAATTGATAGTGGTAAATGCACTAGGTATATCCTATCCACATCTTCAAATTCAAGAAGGCAGTAGTTGCTAAGAAATAACAACATGATCGCTGGTGTTCGGTCCTGTTTCCTATTAGGGGACCACAGGATCTGATCTCTCTGTAGAATGTTCTGAAGAAGGGTCACCGGACCCAAAACGTTAACTCTGATTTCACAGATGCAGTCAGACCTGCTGAGCTTTTCCAGCAACTTTTGTTTTTGTTCCTGCTGTTTAAGCACTGGCTGCAAGAGGGTGGTTGATATTCGGACTCTACTCCCCAGTACCTGTCTTCTGTCATGAGGCATAAGTTATGATTGAATAATCCCCATTAGCCTTAATGGATACTGCTGTAACACTTGGACTTGATACCATCAGGACAAAGCTCAGTTGGCACCTCATTCACCATAAATGCACAGTGGCAACGGTGTGTCTCCTGCAGGCACTTTTCATAGCATCTTCAAAACTAGCAACCTCTACTCCACAGTCACTCAATGGCAGAAAGTGCGTGGAAACACCAACTGCAAATTTTGCCCCCAAACTGTATGTCATCTGAACTTGAAACAACATCAAGTTGAGTCAAAATTCTGGAACTCCTTAAGTGTTGCCTGTTCCTACACCAAAAGGCCAAACAGATTTCAAGAACAGAGTTTACTATTGCCTTACCTGAGCTGATTTATTGAATACTGGCCTAGCTAGATGCCCCTATCCACATGTTTTTTAAAAAAACTTTGGAAATTTGACAATTGAAACTGTTCATTCATTTGCATGGTCTTGCAGGAACATCTTGTAGTTGGCCAATGCAGCCCATGGCCTCAGCACCTAATTTTAGTTGCAGTAATTCCATAGCTGCCTCAAATTCAAAGATCATGAATCAGGTGCATTAAAAAGCTGAAAATGTATCTGGATGACAGCATTGGAATGAGAGCAATTGGTGAATGCTGTAGTGAGTGCATGGACCAGTTGTGTAAAATAGTTGAGCTGTGATTCAAAAAGCACTGATTCCAAAATGTAAAGCTCAAAGTCACTTCTGATTTCCTGTTCTTCTAGCACACAGTCTGTTGGTTGTTTAGCAAAATAACTTTAATTGCCGTTGCCTTGTTCTCCCAGCCAAGAAACAAGCAGGGAAGACCAAGGAAGAATTAGCTCTGGAGAAGAAGAAAGAGTTAGAAAAAAGGCTACAGGATGTGAGCGGACAACTGAATCCCACTAAAAAACCTCCCAAAAAAGGTATTGTTCATTAGCTAATGCCTGGTGTTAACAATTTATGAAAGGATAAGTTCAATACTGAGATACATGATCCAATTAGATTTTGTCTTTGATTATACACTAGATCTTGTCTGATCTTGTTCCTTTTGAATGTCTTTTCATTTTGTGTATTTATCTGGACTCAGGTTTTGAGTCTAATCTGTTTATGATCCACAATCTGGGGTTAACTGCCAGATGAAGAGCAGGCTGCAGGGGACATAATCTCTTCCAAGTTTTATCTGGTTTAAATTGACCAGAGCCAAATACTAAAATACCATCTCAAGTAATCTCCTACTCACTCTTTTTAGGTGAGAGCAGGAAGCTGACTGATCAAAAAGATTTGTTTCTGGGAGGAATGAGTTAGTTGATGCAGATTGCCGGGGATGGTGTTTGGAAGAGAACAATAATGCAGAATAGATTTTCCCCATGCAGTTCAAGGGATTTAAATAAGTGAGTCAGAATCGCAGCTTTATTAATGTTGTTTTTCTCTTTCTGCAGCAACTGAGAAGCCAGATCCAGTTCAGCCAGTAGGCCCTTCACGCCTCAGCGCCAGCAGCAGCAGTTCTTCAGGATCTGACACTAGTAGCACTTCCAGTGGATCAAGTTCATCAGACACAAGTGATTCTGACTCTGGTTAGAATTGGCAAATGCATTGGCTTGTTTCTGGCAGGGGGAAATTGGTGTAGGATTGGTTCGAACTAATCTGCAGGGTCGGACGAAGTATGAACCAGACTGTTGGGAGATGGCCTGTCCCCGTTGCCCGCCGTTACTGACTGCAGTGTACATGGTTTGATGTGATTTGGTTTTATATTTAAAAACTACACAAGCGATGCATCGCAAGGACAGACATGGTAGAGGATTGCACCACTCCCTTACATATCAGCTAGATCTCTTAACTCGTCTGTCCCAAAACGCCGTGTGCAAGGCCAGACGGGGGCCAAGGGGTATTCGAGGCTGAGGATTGATTCCTTCTGGTTCTCAGTAGTGGAAGGCAACTCAAAGTCAGTACAGAAGAGAGACTGCAGCCTCTAAACTCAGCACCCTTCTCTTTGCATAAAATCATGTGCAGGATCCAATGTGATAATTGTAGAGGGATGAGCAGCTTTGATCCCATGTGTAGAGTTGCAGTAAGCAGTCTTATTTTTGTTTTGGAAGTCTTTTTCCCCAGTTTGAAAGCATTTTAAGCTGTTGGTCTCTGAACTGTCACTCTGAAACCCATGTTTATTAGTAATGTTCAGTGGAAGTACTGCTTTTCTTTACACGTTTTTGTTCAGTTACATCTTGAAGATGGTTCATAAGGATTGTGCTCCATCTCGAGTGTGTTCAGCCACTGTCCAGAGGCCACTGGCTCCTCTTGCTGAGTTTACTGATCCTGGTTAGCATGGCAATTTGAGAAGCATTTTGAAAAGGCATTAATTTGGCTGGACATGAGCAGATATGCTGAGTGCTGCCCGATGCTTTATTTTTCCAATACATCCGATACTTGAATGCAGAGCAGTAATGCTGTAACCATGGTAGTGTTGGTCAGTGCACAGTCTGTAAGCAACTGCTTGATGTGCCTACCTTATTTCCCCTCTTCCTTTTTTTTTGGTTTGGACTAGGCTGATTGGATAGTCTTAGATTATCCTTCAATTGGTGCCCTGTCTTATTCAGTTGCACGACTTGGCTTGGAGCGACGGATTGTTTTTAATGTGTACAGTTTAGTTGTAGTCTTCATTTCTGCAGAGGTTACAGGAAAAGCTGACAGCCGAATTTAATCTTTTTTTCATCCAGTTATCTGGTGTTTTATTTATTTTGTTACAAAATAATTATGTTTTATATTGTAAAGACTGAACCAATGTGCCTGTTGATGCAGGTCACAAGAGAGTGTAGAGTGAGATTTTAACAAGTATTGTATATACGAAGATGCACAATTGAGACGCATGTTTCTTAATGTAAAGGTGATTTTATTTTTATCTTAATCTGTAAAGTTTTTTTCTACAGTCCGTTCCTCCGTTTTTTGTTATTTGTAGATTTGACCTCATGTAGCAGTTAACAACTTGTATGTGACAATGTGTATTTGTTAAACCTTTAGTTCTCAAACCTGTACAGTAAAAGTGTTCTTTAAAACTAATTTGTTAAAAAAAATTTTGGGCCTGTTTGTTAGAAATGGAGAGTTGAAGATCTGAATCTGTACTGTTGACTGGGAGGATGAAATATGAAATTTTAATACTATGTAACATAGCAGAAGTAGGCAATTTGGCCCATTTGAGTCTACTCTGCTGTTCTGTGGAATTCACGGTTGGTAATCCTCGACTCGCTTCCTGGCTTTTTCTCCAAACTGTTGATTACCTTTTTATTGATTTTTAAGGCTCAATGGAGAAGAATTTCACACTGCACAAAAGAAATTCCTCCGGTCTTTAACTCAGAATCTCTAGAGATAGAGGCCATTTGGCCCATGAACTCTGCACTAACCCTCAAGAGCATCCAGCCCCTGGCACTATCCCCATAATCCTACAGTTAGCATTGCTAATCTGCCTAGCCTGCACATCCCTGGACACTGTACAGCAATTTAGCATGGCCATTCCACCTAACCTGCACATCTTCGGACTGTGGGAGGAAACCGAAGCATCCAGTGGAAATCCATCCAGACACTGGGAGAATTGCCAACTCTACCCGATCTCTTCTACGTCTACCCTGTCAAGCCCACCAAGAATCTTTTTTTGTATTTTTCAATAAGGTTACCTTTCTTTCTTCCAAACTCTGAAACTAAACCTGCTCAACCTCTCTTCTAAAAGTCCCTGCATTCCCTGGGTCAAACTAATGAATATTGTCTGGACTGTTTCTAAAGTAATTCCTTTTAAATGAGGGGACCAGAATTCAAGTATTGAGGTGTGGTCTGACCTATAGCCTTCTATGGCTTTAGTGCAACTTGTGTATCTTTATGCCACATTCCCTTTTTTTTGCCTGTTAATTCCTTCTGCAGGCTCTGCCATCACCACTCGTGTATTTCTGCCTTTTTTTTTGTCATGTGTAATAACGTTGACCTGTTCAGAAAAGTTTTATACATTTTCTGGAACAGGTAAGGTTTGAACCCCGGCCTCCTGGTTCAGACGTAGGACCATGAGTCCTCCAAGTTGATTACTGTAAATAACTGTGGCACTTTTAATTGAGTTGCTATCCTAAAAATGCCTTCTTTATGCCAGCATCTGTTGTTAGTTGCCTAGTCCTCTCCATGTTCATATATTATCCCAACGCTAAGAGCTTTTAAGTGTCCTTTTATACTTGGATTTTCCAAAGACATTCAATATTACATTTACTGGTTTTCCCCTTTATCCATCTTGCTTCTTATCTCAAAGAATTCTCATTAATTTAGCAGGCAATTTTGCTGCCTTTACTGCATTTTGCATTTCTAAAGGGTATGAAACCAGTATGATAACCATAGATGGCAATGTTTAAGATGCGCAATCAAAGATAATGATTTCAAAGCAGTTCCTGGGAAAACCACTTTTTCCCCAGTCCTGAATTTACTATTCACAAATCATAGAAATATTAGTATGGATGGAGGCCTTTTGGCCCACCATGTCTACACCAATCTCCTGTCTCTTTTTTTTCTCTCAATACCATTGCACATTTTTGTCCAAATAAGCGTCCAGTTCCTTTTCCAATCTAAGTTCAAACTCCAGGCAGTGTATTCCTAACTAGTTGGTAAATGGAAAAACTCTCTTCGTTTCACATTTTGCTTCTTTTTCAGATCTCATTAAATCTCTGTCTCTTGTTTGGCATCCTTTTTTAGAAGCATTAACAATTTCCCTCTTCTACTCTAGCCATCCAGCTCTGTTTTGGTTGAAAACCTCTGTCAGATTTCCTAGCTGCCCTTTTTCAATCAAGATTAGTCTCAGCCTCTTCAATCTATCCTCATAATGCGGTTCCTCAGAACTGGAACCATTGTTAAATTGCTTCTGTGAATTTCCCAGGACGTTCATATCCTTGCTATAATATACTGTTCTGCAGTACTCTAGTCAAAGTCTAATGAAAGATTTTTGTACTGAATTTAACATCACTAACTTGCTGTTGTGCTCTCTGTTCCTGTTACTAACACCAGGATACTATATGTCACTTCTGTATTTTTCCTGCCACTTTCAATGGTCTCTGCAAATATGTACCCAGGTATTTCTGGTTTCTACACCTGTTCTTCTTTTCTCTTGCTCCCCCCACCCCGTCCCTTGAATTCTAAGCCAATTTTGTGTTCTTCCTGACAAAGAATATCACTTTTATTTCTCTCAATTGAAACTCTTCTGCCACCTATGTCCTTGCAGTTTGCAATTCCAAGTTTAGTGATCTAAAGTTGTTTCCTGCATACTAAGGTCTAGGCTATTAATGTATTTCAGGGAAAAGCAAGGGTCACATTAACTGCTTGGGACACTCTATCCTTTTAAAAAATATCCATTGATCAGTTTCCTGTGACTCAGCTAATTTTGTCTCCATGTTGCTACTGATTTCTTTTATTCCATGACTTAAACCTTTCTTCAAGTATGTTATGATACTATATCAAAAACCTGAAAGTTCATGTGTACTGCATCAACAGCATTGCAGTCATCAAGCCTTTGTTACCTTCTGGAAAACCAGAAAGTTAGTTAAACATGTCTATGTTGTTACTCTGAAGCTTCCCAGCCACTGATGTTAAGATGACTGGCCTGTATAATAAATCCTGTTCCCTAAGAATCTTCTCTAACATTTTCCCTATCACTGACAAGCTTCACTGCCTTATAATTTCTTGGAATATCCCTGTTGCCCTCCTTTTAAAGGAATAATATTGGCTAATCTCAAGTCATCTGGGACCTTGCCTGTGTCTAAAGACAATTCAAAAATCTCTGTCAATGCCCCAGTATCTTTGTCTCCTTTAGTATCCTGGGACAGATCCTATTGGGCCCTGGTAACTTACATACCTTAAGGCTGGAAAAGCACAGCAGGTCAGCATCCCAAGAGCAGGAAAGTCCATGTTTTGGGCTGAACATTGACTTTTCTGCTTCTGGGATGCTGTCTGACCTGCTTTGCTTTTCCTGCTTTTCACCTGTAGACTCTGACTTCCAGAATCTGCAGTCTTCATTGCCTCCAACCTACCTAGCTTAAATGTTTTTTAGCACAGCCAACACGTCCTTAATATTGACATGCTCTAGAATACCAACATACTCCTCCCTAATCTTGCTATCATATGGGTCCTTCGTGAATACTGATACAAAGTATTCATTAAAGACCTCTCCCACTTCCACTAGTTCATGCGTAAATCTCCTGTTTTGTCCTTGAGTGGACCTCCCTTTCCTAGCAATCCTCTTGCCCCTAATATATGTATAAAATGCCTTGGGATTCTACTTACTAAGGATGTGTCATGACCCCTTTTAATGTTCCTAATTCCTTATTTAAATTCTTTCCTGCTTCTTTTTGTATTCTTCAAGGGTCTTGTCTGATTTCTGTTTCCTAAACCTAATATGTTTCCTAATATGCTTCTTTGCCTTTTTGACTAATCAATATCTCTTGTCACCCAGGGTTCCTGAATGTTGTCAGCCTTGTCTTTCGTCCTCATGAACAACAAGCTGGTACTGAATTCTGATCAACTGGCTTTTAAAAGACTCCCACCACAGGTGTGGATTTACCCTCAGCACCTGCCCCAATCCCACCCCTGTTGTAATTAGCTTGCCCCAATTTAGCACTTTTGCCCAAGGATCAGCCTTATCCAGAACTATCTTAAAATTTAAGGACTTATAATCACTACAGCCTATCATTTTGAACTCTTCTAGGGAGTTCCCTCCTCTCTCACCTAGCCTTTGATAAAGACAGATACAATATATTCATTTAACATCTCAGCCATACCCCTGCCTCCAGGTGTAAATCCACTTTTTGGTTCCAAATTGACTTTTATCTTTCTATATGCTGTAGGCTACCAGTCTTTTCCCATCATTCCACTTTGTTTTAATTTTTGCTTTTTTTCACCTCCACTCTGAACCTTTGATATGCCTCCTTTTATTTTCTATCTAACGCTTGGCATAAGCACAGTTCTTATTTATCGTAGTCCCTTTCTCCTTTGTAATCCAGGGTACTCGCTTTGCTTGTTTTACCTTTCTTGTTTGAAGAAATATACCATGACTATACTCAAACCACTATTTTGCGGCACGGTAGTAGTGTCTCTATCCTGGACCGGGAGGGGGTGGGGTTTAAGTTCAAGTTCCCACCAGAGGTATCTAATAACATCTCTGAATAGTTTGATTAGAAAAATAGGCCAATTTTTAAAAAATCTACTCTTGTAACTCCCCAATCTTATGTACAATATTCCAAGAATTCATCTGCATGCACAGGAACCGTAAGATATAAGAGCAGAATTAGGCCATTTGGCCTGTTGAAGCTGGTCCACCATTCCAGTTGTGGCTGATATGTTTCTCCTGCCTTGTCCCATAACCCTTGATGCTCTTATAATCAAGAACGTATCAACCTCTTTCTCAAATACGCCCAATGACTTGGCCTCTACAGCCCTTCTGTGGGAATATGTTCCATCGATTAACCATCCTCTGGCTGATGAAATTCTTCCTCATCTCAATTCTAAAGATTCATCCCTTCACTCTTGAGGCTGTGCCCCAGGTCCTAGCCTCTCCTATTAGTGGAAACATCTTCATGTCCATTCTATTTCAGGGAGGGATTATTTAGGCTATAGACCATAAGGAGTTGTGGATAGGGCGGAAGGATGTTGCAGGTTACAGAGGGACATAGATAAGCTGCAGAGCTGGGCTGTGAGGTGGCAAATGGAGTTTAATGCGGAAAAGTGAGGTGATTCACTTCGGAAGGAGTAACAGGAATACATAGTACTGGGCTAATGGTAAGATTCTTGGTAGTGTGGATGAGCAGAGAGATCTCGGTGTGCATGTGCATAGATCCTTGAAAGTTGCCACCCAGATTGATAGGGTTGTTAAGAAGGCGTACGGTGTGTTAGGTTTTATTGGTAGAGGGATTGAGTTTCGGAGCCATGAGGTCATGTTGCAGCTGTACAAAACTCTGGTGCGGCCGCGCTTGGAGTATTGCGTACAGTTCTGGTCACCGCATTATAGGAAGGATGTGGAAGCATTGGAAAGGGTGCAGAGGAGA